CGATGGAAATGTGATAGAAGTCCAAGGCATGGGAGGTTGGAGGGAAGACATGAAGGTAGAGACTTCAGCAAGGCTGGAGATTTGCATAGCTTTCCAACCTATACTTAGCAGCTAAGAGGGCTCAGATCAAGAGTTTCTCTTCCCCCTAACTTTCTTCTGCAGGGAGGCAGTTGTACCCACAGTGTCTGGTACCATGTGCTGAGTGGGTGACATAGACAGTTTTCCTTTCTCGGGAAGATTTCTTGGCCTTGAAGAATGCTGTGTCTGGGGCAGACTTGGGGCGAAAGTTCCCATTTAGAAGCCTCTGTGCTGCTGTCTTGTGTAGAATTAGCCACTTGTGGGTTGTCTGTCCTCCAAGCAGCATATGGCTGTATGTCACGCTGAATTGCAGATCTGACATCAGCAATCATCTGTGAAATGCATCAGTTGGTCCTTCCTCTGCAGACCCATTCACCCTTGATTTTGCCCTGCATTTTCCCAACTGAGTGTTGAGGGAAGGCTCGTGTACTCATGCACCACAGCTGTCCTGTGTGCTGTCCTGTCACATCTACAGCACTTTTTGCTGTCTTTCTCCCTCACATTTCCTTTGGCTTCAAGGGCTCATGTGTGAGGGTCAGCTAGAGATACCATGTAGCTTTGGGACTCCCATGGATGACTTACTCATTTGTCCATCCTAGTCAAGATCAGGAGGATTTTGAGCTACCATGGATGAAGGGAGACTGAGGAGAAAACCTAGCCAGCTGTAGATAAGGACTCTCTTAGACCAGCTGATCACCTTGGTAGTTCACAGGAGCTTGTGACTCAGGGGCTATGAAGATTTAGTTGCTTCTTGGAAGTTTTGTCAGAGCTGTTTTGAACTGGGAAGAACTGGAGCTTTTGCCACTCATCAGGCTTGTACTGGTGGTGCTGAAGTCAGTAATCTTTAGGATTTCACCTTCAGTGCTTTCCAAAGAGGGATTTGCTGTCCTGTGGTCTGGGAAGGCAGTGTCACAAACTCCAAGCTGTACACCACAGTGGCAAGCTTCTCACTTGTGCCCTCTTTGTTGGGTTCCCAGCAAGACTGTCTGTATGTGGTGTACAGTCTTGCAGAGTACACGTGACAGGCGCTCTGCCAGTGTACTCTGTGTTTATTTGGGCTATGACTTTGCTGGAAAAGAGCATATGACAACTGAGCTGCTTTTGCAAATGGTGATGAGGAGCTTGACACTGTGATGCTCAGGTAAGAGCCAGGCTGAGGCTCCATTTTTGGCTCAGATGCTGACTAATACAGGATTTCCATTTCTGGACTCTCCTGTTGTGTTGCAGTGGCCTGATGTGGCAATGCATAAAACAAGATGTGAGGTAGCTTCTAAGTACCAGCAACAAAATCTGCAGGACGGTCTGGGTTTGACTGACCTGGGTTCCCTTTAAGGCCCCTCCAGCTCTGCGGGACACTCTGGGTTCGGTAAATGGCTTGGCATGTGCTCTAGGCACCAGCACTGTTTTGCTGGGCGTGAAGAACTATGACGTTCTTTGATGTCTCTGATCCCAGAAGATAATAGTCATGCTCACATTAACCTCGGCATCTTTTCCCTGAGAGGGCTTTCAGTGTGCTGCTTTCGTAAAACAGACAGCAATTTTTCAGTCTGCTAGCTTTGTCCGTCAGTAACATTCTCCACCAGGGAATGCAGCTTTAGGCCTGTCCCTCTAACTTATCTGAAAACATTTTCATTTCAGATAGCTGTAGTGTTTTTACTGGGTTGTCATTAATAAAGCAGGTTTACAATAGAAAATGAGACTTCCTAATAACAATTGGATTCTGCTGCCTGATTGAAGAATTTTGTAATAACTAAGCTATGTGGCATGAAAAGAAGCCTCTTTTTGTGGGGGATTACTACATATGCAGGTATGTGGTGAAGCATAAGGCCAGAAACTGGCTGAGTTTAACCAGCCAAGGAACGTGATAATCCTCCAGAAAGACGTAACATCGGCTATTTTATTAGCAATAGGAAATGGATATTCCATTTGTGACTGGGAAGGTCATACCTGTCTCTGGGTATTAATGTGGCTATATCACCAGCAGCCAGTGGGAACGCTTCATGTCTGTGCAGAACGTTAAAGCTGCCTCGCGCTGTCAGATGTTTGGCTGGGTTTTAAGGATGCTTCTATCCACTAGGGCTATCAGAGAATATTGCCTTGCTCTCTGAAGACAAGTGCCTTTCAAACGCCATTGAATGTTTTTGCTCTCGTTAAAAGTTAAGAAGCCTTTGATCTGAAGTGCTGTTTTTTTGTTTTTTGTTTTTTGTTTTTTTTTTTTCCCTCTGGCTTGCCAGGGCCTGGGAGGAGTTTCATGGCCTGGTGAACAGCAGTGGCCGCTGATCGAACGCTCCCCCTCCCTCTGTCACACCCAGGGTAGGGCCTCATCTTTCTTCCTACGTGACTTCATGGCATACCTCTCAGTTTCCAACCCTCTTCCCGTGGGCTGGCATGTTCTCCTCTTGCCTTGCGGGCCTGGTAGCGGGCCTGTTCTGCTATTGGCTCTTTCCCAAAGGTCAAAATGATTTTTTAAATTTTTTTTGGACCTAAGACACCCACATTCACTGTAATCTCCATTCACGCAGCATTTTCTCTTGTGATGCTGTGTGCTATTTTGCTAATGTGTCCTTCCTCTGTGCAAGGCATTTGTATCCCAGACCTGGTCCCAGGAGGCTGAGAGGTATGTCTTCAGCTTGGGTCTGTTGCCTAGGGTTGACTGTAAGCAGATATGGAGTGATAAATGAATGCTGAGCACATCCATGTGATGGATACTGAGAGAGGCGCCTGGAGCTTGGCATACGTGCCTTTGCACTTGACAGTGGGCTGGAGCAGAATAAATTAGTCTGTCAATAAAAGCTTGTTCAGGAAGGACACACAGTAGCTACTGTATTTAGAAATAATAATGCTGTGGCTAATGAGATGAAACCACCTGCTACTTCTGGTAGTGGCAACCGACCATGTGCAGATTAAATAGCCAAGGTGAGCTCAGGGCTGTTGTGAGCCTCACAGCTCAGATTGTTTTTCCCCTCCAGTGCCCACTTCCCTGATGGCAGGCCCTTTCCTTACAAAGGGCTAGCAGGAGGCCTGGTGATGAGACTTGCGTTTGGTTGTAGCCAAGTGGGATTGCTGCACTGCCGAATGCCAGAGCAGAGAAGCCCGTTGGAAGGAAGCATTACATTGCCCGGTTCCCACCCCATGGTGGTATGTAGCTGCTCCAACGCGGCTGAACTCCGAGGGGCCACTGGGGAGCCCAAAACCTCCCTCCACAGCTTTGGGCAAGCAATGTTCTCATAGCTTGCTCTGAAGTCATGGGTGAAAATAATACCTATCTTCCTCACAGATTTGGCTTTTTGTGAGGATCGATGGTTACAAAATCTTACCCAGGCACCTAGTAGTGTTGTTATTGTTAGGTGATATTCAAGTGACCTTCCAGAAGAGGAAACCAGCTCACTTCTTGAAATACCAGTCTCAGAAGGCCATAAATGTGCCAAGTGCATAGGGAAACTGACAGAGTTGATTTAGCTCTGGGGTGTATTGGGTTACCTATGCTGAGCAGGGAGAGTAGTGATGAGCAGAGGGCTTGGGCAGCCCGATAAAGGCGACAGGAGGGGAAATGTAGAAACCTGTCTGAGAGAGCGCTAGCCAAAGTGTGCTGTCCTCCTGAGGTAGATGGCACAGGTGAAAGTACAGTATGGAATGGAAAGCCAAACCACTGTTGCAAATTAACTGGAATCCAGTTAATGAATCCTGAATCATGTTCCCAAATGGCAGCACAGCCTGCTTTGCTGGCAAGTGCAAAGGTGAACCCCAGTCTTCTGCAGATGGCCTCCAGCGTGGTTTTTGCTGTCATGTCATAGCAGAGTAACTTGTTTAACTCTCTACAGAGTGTTTTTTACTTCCTTCTGCTCCTCCAGCTCTCCAGCCCACCTTCTGGAGGTGTTCCAGCATGCACTGTGCTGTGATGTTACAGCTACTGTGCAGCTCTTAGCAGCACACAATGCTAGCTCAAGGGTTTAAGCAGGATTTTACAGTCCTACAGAAGCACCTTGCCTCTGAAGCTGCTGCCTTTGCTCTTCAACACAGCTCTGCCAATTTGATGTGGTGTGTGCTGGGGCATCCCTAGGTGTTTGGTTTGGGCAACCTACAGCCCTGTCCCTGTTAGGGGAAGAGCTGCCAAACCTATCCTCTCAAAATAATTGTAATCTCATTTATTTCCATTTGAGTTTAAAAAAAAAAAACACACCACCTTTCTATTAATGTGTAAATATGTTTTGCCTGTTGCTGCTGCTCACAGGGTAGTAGTAAGCATTAACAAAGGTTTCTATAACCTGCCCCATCTTCAATTGCTGCCAATTGCTGCCATGTGCTGCAAGACTATACAAAAGAAGGTTGTGGACCAGCAGTCCATTCTTTGTGAGTAGCCCCTGCAACTCACGTGACGGTACTCATGCGAGTAAAAGCTGCTGAAGAAACTCTTCTCTTTAAGCTTGAGGGGAACTTCCTTCTCAGATCAGATACTCTTTTAAGGTAGGAGAGACCAGAGAGCTAAACTTGTTGACAGCATGACAAAAGGAGCCTAAATACAAGAGATAAAGGCGGGAGAAGGTTGGACTGATGGTGTATTTGTGCTCCAAGCCAAATCCCTGAGGACAAATGTTTGGGAAGGAAGAGATCTCACAAGTTGTTTAAACACCAGAATCTATTGGGGAGGTTTCCAGAGTCTATCATATGCTTTGCTCACAGGAAATGACACTTTTTTCTTCCCAGTGAGTGGGGATGAACTATAATCTCCAAGTGTTCTGGAGCAGCAGGTTGACATGTGAAAAGTCTATTTAGAAAGCAGAGCTGCTTAGGAGGTTTAACGAGCATTGATTTGAGTGACATACTGGGATGGCAGCACTGGTAGCCATGTTGGGTGGAATGGGGGGATGCTGTAATCTGAAGGAATGCACACCTTTAACCTCTTTCTTCCCTCTGTTTTCCAGGGATAATTCAAGCTTTCGAAACACAAAAATCACATTGTGAGAACAAGAGCTGGCACTAAGCTCCTCTCTCCGTGTTGAAAGCACTGAGAGGTCTCTACCAGTGCCCTCCGACCTCTGAAGGGACTCATGGGCCACTCTCTCGCACTCCTCCTTGGAGGAAGGATCCATCTGAAGCCCTCCAGCAGCGGTGACAATAGAGGCTGATTTTGTCATACACAAACTTTTTTTTAGCAGTGGGGCGGGAGGCCAGCCTTTCAATTAGCGGCGTGCCCTTGGGGCCGCATCTTGCAGCACTTTCCTCTCTTTCTCTACACGGCATGCAGGATCTCTGGGATTCTGCCTCAAGATCGGAGCCTTTTGCTGAGGGATACCAGTATTATAAATCTCTCTGCAGCTGGGAGGAGCTTCCCAGTTGAGAGTCAGCCCTGTGGTTTTCAAATGCCCCCTTTCAGCTCTGCCAATAAATTATTGGGTCTCTTTGGTTCTTTCAGTCTCTCTTTTTTTTGATCTGTCTAAAAATTGGTGGGATGGTATTTCTCTAGGCTGTGTTAAGTCCCCAGGCCTACTTCTGCCAGCTCCATAAAGCATCTCCCCCTGAGCTGCCCACCTACGTGAAGCAGCAAAGCACCCCAAGGGCCAGTGATGCCCAAGGTTAACTGTATTTGTGGAGTTACATGGGCAGAGGACATGTAACAGGTGTAACATCTTGCTTAAAAAATGAGACGCTTGCTTTGGTTTTGCCCCTTGTTCATACCCCCTGGTTAGCAGTGCCTTGCACCCAGCCCTGTTTGTTGGGGAGAGGCATGCGAGGTTCCCTTAAAGTAGGCCAAAGAGGTGTTTGGTGTCACTTTGTTGCCTTGACTCAGTGGAGAGCCAGCAGTGCTGCCCTGTGTTGAATCCAAGGCAAGGCTGAATGCAGGGCTGTGCGTGCTTCTGGGGTGCGCTGAGGTTTGCAAGTCTCTGGCTGTCTGGAAACCTGGACCCTGGTGGGAGTAGCAGAAGAGGGTGATGGGCCAGGCTGCTGCTTACAGCTGCATGAAAGCTGTGACCAGAAGAGGGGCTGCCAGAGATCTCCTCTCCTCTGGGGTGAGGCTAGGCTGATGGGTTGTTGCCTGGAAAGCCAGCATGGCTGCAATTCAGATGCCACGGAAACAATAGGAGCTAATTATTTCTTGTGATTCTGCTTGACCACAATGCTAATTGTACTCATTAACAGCTCCAGCCTTTTCCCCTTTTCCTTGGGGAATCACACAATCACCGTTCATTTTTAATAGAGCCTCTGCATTGAGCCCAGGAGGGGAGGCTGCGGCCAGGGATGGGGCACATCTCCTGCCCTCTGTGCGGTCCCCCAGGAGAAGGGGCTGCTTGGGCCAATGTGGTCATGACCGTGGAACTAGTGGCCCGTGTCTGGGACAATTCCTGGCCTTGGGGACCAGGAGACCTTCAGCCTCATGACTCCAGTTGCAAATTCCTTGTGTTATTATTAAATAAGTCTAGACTGAAAGCAGCCAGGACTGGCAGAGAAAACAGTCTTAAAATATTCTGTCTTCCAAAGGGTTTGTTTTCCGCATGGAGGGTGTCAGTTGCGGGCTGTCTCTAGAACTGTTCAGCACGCTGACAGGGATGACTAACTGCTCCCTGTGGTCAGGCAGTTTGTGCCTGCTGGCACCTGGCTGGGCAGGGAGCAGGCAGTTCCCCGGGCTGTGGCATCCCTCTCTGTGTTTCCTTAGACCTCACGGTCGTATTCCTGCTCTTGCCACTTGTTTGTCGCCAGTTCTCAACCAAATGCTCTTTTCCAGGCGCAGTTTGTTTTCCCTGCTGCGATCAGGTACTACTAAGGCTGCTACTTAAAATTCCTTTTAAATACAACTCTCCCCTGCTGCTCTCCAGTATTTGTTAGGGGGGATTTAGTTGTAATTACATTTTGGCAATCTAAGCAAAAATAGCCTTGCAAGGCAAGGCTGAAATACTAGCTGCAGGCTCCTTTTATCCACGGCGCATTTAGCTTCTTGCAGATGACATCACTTAGGACTTTAGTCCTGTTGTTGTGCCCAGCTGCGCGTCGCATCCACCTCTGCTATTTCATGTACTTGCCCACTTCTTGCCTCTGATGCCCCGCATCTAAGCTGGTGCTGATGAGCGCAGGCTTGCTATTAAATCTGAAAATGCTGCAGCCCTGCTGAGTTTACCCTTAAATACGCTTTGCAAGTAAGCTGTGGAAGAGCCCTTCCCTGGGGGTCTGTTCCTCTCCTCCCATTGCTACTGTGGTTGAGATTTGGAGGAACTCAGCACTGGTTCCTCTTGCTCAGCCTTGAAGGGAGCAAGCTGGCTGGGGTGTAGAGTTTGTCCTCTTTAAGGCTACAACTTTTCCTGAGATCAGGAGAAAGGTCAGTGCCAAGCACCAGGTTTGGTGCCTCCTTTGACTTGGAGAGGGATGAAGCCAGACTGGGTTTTGAGCAGGGCTTTTGGGGTGTGGTCTAACTGTGTCTTGCTAGTAAGAGTGGTGAAAAGACTGGGAGGTTCTTTGGTAGGGGAGGGAGCCTCTGTCACGCTCTAGAAAAAGGTTTCAGATCCTCTTTGTACAGGAAGCAAGCCTGGACCTGTGGGAGCCCCAAATCTGCAGTGAGTCATGACCTTCCCTGCTCTCCTCATCCTTCAGGCTTTGCCCATCCTTAAACTTGTTCAGATCCTGTGTAGCAACTTTTGGGGAAGCCAGCAGGACTTTGAGCCCTGGAGTCCAGCCCCAGGGATTTTCTTTCCCCAGGGGATGCTGGGCCGTGGTGAGCTCCTGGGCCCTGGGTGTCTCTGGCTACAACTGGTCAAGTGGGGGCTGATGGCTGGGCTGGGCTTTGCTGGGGGGCTCAGGGAGCGGTGGTGGGGGTCCACTGGATGTTTCCAAGCTGGAGCTAAGGAGGAAATCTGCTTCCTGACCCACAGATAGAAAGGAGTCCCTGTTTTGGAGGGGAGCGTTTGGATGCTTGGAGGCAGTTGTTGCCCCTTAGCACTTCTCGATGGGGCATGGGCACGCAGGGCTGATGCTGGGCTGGGGGGGCTTTTCCTCTCCCACTGCACTCCCCCCACCACCCTGCCAGCTCCATCAGGGTGACCTGCAGGGTGTTCTCCCACTGGTTCTTGCAAGACATATCTGCTGCCTGAGGCATCATGGCTACTGCTTTTGGTTTTGTCCTTGTCTCTGGTGTGGTGATAAACCCCAGGGATCTCCAGAGGGCAGGTAAAACCACTGCTTGGGGGTGGTGGAGAACATGGTCTCAGTCGCATGCTCCCATGCTTCGGCAGGCTGGAAGAGCTCATCCCTTTCTTGTGCCGTATGGGTGTGCCTGGGACTGCACTCACCTGGAAGAAGCAGCAGCTCTGCGGAGCAGGGAGAAGTGGATGACAGTCCCTGGCCCTGTTCAGATCCCCCTATGCCCTGGAGACGGAGCAAGGCAATGGGGACCCAGCAGTCAATGGGAAATGACCAGGCAAAGACAGACCAGGGCTCATTAATTCTGCACTTTCTCCGGGAGGGAGAGCCCAGGGCCTGGTGACATGCCTGGTGCTATGGTTTGGGCAGCTTGGGCAGATCTTGGCTCTCATAGGGCTGGGGACACTTGGCTAGGGCAGAGAGGACATCACCATGGGGTGGCTGTGGGGGATAGGAGTGCTGTGCAGTGCCATCACCAGCAGGAAGGCTGTGGCCAGGAGGAGTATGGTGCCCCAGGACCTGGTCACCCTACCCACATCATGGCCACAGGGCTGCAGCCATGGGGATTGACTCAGACAGGAGGCAGGACCCAGCCAGGGTGCTGGGTGCTTGGTGAGCTCCTCTGGGCACCCCCGACTGTGTTGGGCACCATCCCTGCCTGCTTCAGGGTGCCAGCCTGGAGCACTGGATCAACCAGGTCTAAGTGCCGTGGGCATCACGCACCTCCTGGGGACGGGGCAGGAAAAGCCACCTCTGCATGGGCAGACTGGCACAGCCAGAGGGTGGCTCCGGGCCATGACCAGGCTGCAGGCATCCAAGAGGTGATGTCTCAGCTGCTGGGTGTTTGCCTCCCTCCTCCATCCGTGCCAGCAGTGCCCTCACCTCTGGCAGGCAGTGCCAGGAGCCAGTTGCGGGCAGTAACCAGCTAGTTTTCTCCCAGCAGCAGCAGAAGCAGCCGGCGCTGGGGCAGTGAGGCTGATGGAGACACAGCAAGTCCTGGAGCCTGGCGCAGGTGGCGTGAGCTGGACCACAGAGGAGCAGACGCTGCCTGCTGCCATTCCCAAGCTGACCTCCCGCATCTCCCCTGCCAGCAGAGACAAAGCCATGGGGGCCCCAAAGGTCAGTGAGGGGCACGGGGGAACGCGGTGTTGCTGGGATGGGGGGAAGGGGCTGTGCTTGACAGAGATGATCTGGTGGGGCAGGGAGGGCCAGGGGAGGAGGGAGTCACGTAATGGTGCTTGTAGCAGGGTGGGTGTCAAGAGGCACCCATCCCTGAGGGGGTTTATCCCATCTGTGGCTCCACTGCTGCCCCGGGATGGGGGCCTGTATCTGTGATTCCTGCCCTGTTGCCACCATTGCCACGGCGAGGGATTTTGCCTCATTTGCCCTGGGCTTGAAGCTGTGAATTTGCAGTGGGGTAACATGGCTGTTGCTGCCAGCGTTGGTGCACGGCCCATCAGATGCCCGACTCAGCTCCAGTTCCCCCTTGTCTCTCAGCACCCTTGTGGGGTGCTGGGACAGGACTGTGGCTTAGAGGTCTGTGGTCAGCCTGCACGGGCAGCACATCCAGCCATCCAAGAGGGCTAACCCCATGAGCAGGCATGCAGCAATGATGCCACGGAGGCTCATGAGACTGCCACGGGCTTTATTTCCACATTCAGCACAAGCACAGCCACCCCATGCTCCCCCCCTTCCCCATCACCACTACTGCTGGGGAGTGGCAGAGCCCCATCACCCCCAGTCCTCCTCCAGCGCTGTTTGGCACCAGGAGCTGCTGTGCCCACAGGGATCTCAGCTGGGCAGGCTGATCTGGGGGTGCCCAGCCCCTGGCACCAGTGGTCCTGGCAGCAGGAGGGCTGGAGGTCACCTCTGGGCATCACTGTGGCAGGTACTGCTTGGGATCCCCAGGGAAGGGCAGGGCGGGCGCCTGGTTGAAGTGAGCCATGAGGAAGATGCCGATGGTGCCAAACACAAAGAGGGAGGCCATGATGAAGAAGCAGACACGATCGATCACCCGTCCCACCAGGATCCATTCTTCGCTCTCCTGCCGGCAGCACGGGGAGGTGGGTGAGGGCTGCCCCCACTGCCCCCCACGTGGGTTCCTCTCACCCCAGCCCTGACTCACGCTGCTGAAGTCATTCTGCTCCCGTGTGGCGTTGGCAATGTGGTTGCAGGCGTCCACGCAGGCACGGATCTCGGGGCCTGCCTCCTCCAGTCTCTGGCAGAAGTCCTGGGTACTACCGCTCTCCAGACCACGTCCTACAGACAGTGGAGCCGGCAC